TCCCTCTTATTCTTCCTCCACCCCTCCCCCCAGCCAAAACACCAACCAACCAATCCAAAAACCTCTGAAGAAGGACAGTGTTAGAACTATGGAACCAAAGCGTTTCCAGTATCAAGAGAAAAGGGAGCTAGAGCAGGGGCAAAAAGCCGGAATTTCAACTTTTTTTTTTTTTTCTGAAGAAGGACAGTGTTAGAACTATGGAACCAAAGCGTTTCCAGTATCAAGAGAAAAGGGAGCTAGAGCAGGGGCAAAAAGCCGGAATTTCAACTTTTTTTTTTTCTTCAAGGGAAAAAATTAGAGTATATCTCTGGGTAAGCAGGCCATCCTCCCAGGAGGGAGAACCCACGATTTCCCCAGGTAGTACACTCCAGAGAGTAGATAAATTGTCCAGAGATACTGGACGGGGGCCACAGAAATACGTGACATTTAAATACAATGATGGAAGCTGTTTACAGTCCTCTGAAAGATGCCTTTCATCTGAAAGATGAAAGGGTTTAACAGTCAGTTGCAATAGCTCACAGTGGTCGCTGTGACACCAGATGAGTTGTAGTGTTCCAATCTTTTCCTACTTGAAAAGCTGAAGCAACACAATGACTTGCCCAGGGTCACACACACCACACTTGGGACAGAAATAATCCTAACTGCTCCTTCCGGGCTCTAACCAGCTGACAAAGTCACTTTATTACTGTACTATCATTCAAATCTGAATCATTTAAATTGCTCCTAATTGCAGGCCAGTGGTGAACTGTAACCTCCGTGTGACTCTGCCAGGTCAGGGAGGTAGGAGTGACGGAAGTTTTACAAACTCCTGAATATGGGATGAAATGCTGGGAGGGGGAGAGTGTGAAAGTGTTTGAAAGTCAAGTGTTTGAAAACTTGACTCTGAAACTGCTAACAAGCATCATATTTAGATTTTTTTTTTTTAATGAATTTGAAATGTCACCTCTCATTTATTTTATTGGAACAGAGAAGCACTTGGGATCCAAATGGATGCCATTAAGAAAGGCAATTTGGGGATAAATCTCAGATATATTCCAAGCAGTCAATCTTCACACACATCATTTTTATGCTCATTAAATGACTGCCTGTTTTGTGTTTAAAGATCCTATGTTATCACTTATATGTGGAACTAAAAGATAAAACAGTCTGTTTCTGTATATACATAACAAAACAGAAACAGACTCATAGCGAACAAACTAGTGGCTGCTGGTGGGGAGAGGCAAGATAGGGGTAGGGGATTAAGAGGTACAAACTAATACTATGTAAAAAATAAATAAGCAAAAAAGATATATTGTACAGCACAGGGAAGTATAGCCATTATTTTGTAATAACTTTAAATGGCATATAATCTATAAAAATATTGAATCACTACACCTGATTCAATATTCAGGTCGTTCACCTGAAACTAATATAATATTGTAAATCAACTATACTTCAATTTAAAAAAATTAAGTTTTGAAAATGAAAAAAAGTAAATAAACTTCCTTTTTAACTCTTTTGTAGGCAACTATTGGGGGTGGGGGAGGAGGGGACTGAGGAAGCAACCTGGCATATAAATTCAGATCTGTCCACGGAGCTGGACACGTGCTGTGCTCAGGAAAGAAAGTAAATTCCATAGGGCAATTGCTCTGATTCATTGGTCCATGCAGAGACGCCACCTACCTGCTCACAGGTATTCAGGTAAATGACAGGTGGGCGGGACCTACCTGACTGTTTCAATAGCTAAGTTCCCAGCAATGTTTTATCTGTCGAGGCTCCCGTGATGTCACGCATTTCCTGGTCTCCACCGACCAGTGCCTTCCTCCTTCCTCAAGGCACCTATATGACCGGTGGAGGCCGGTCCTGCTCAGGTGGCCCAAGGAGTTGCTGGATTAACCCACAAGGCGAGAGAGCTGCAGGGTTGCTGCTGCTTTGAGAGCCCCAGGCAGCACTCGAAAAGGTGAGCTGAAACCCTCCATTTTTCTCTCCGGGCATTTAGACCACTGGCCCCTGACGGATCTGAAGGAAGAATTTGAATGAAAAATATAAACGGAATGGTTTAGCTCTGGGTGTTTGACCCAGCAGGAGAAGCCCTTTTTGAAAGGAAAAGAGATGCCGTTGACATTTTGGTGGCACCGGAACTTTCTCCCAGTCCAGATATTTAATCCTTTTTGTTTCTCTTAATCATTAATCCTGCCTCTGCTTGTCTGGGAAGTTGAACTAATTATTATTTTTTTTAAACTCTGAAGTGGAGTGGGGACTTTTTTTGAAACTTAACTCAAAGATGCAGACCTGTTCAGCCCGTGTTGGGAGGGGGCTGAATTCAGAGTTGCCTTACTTACCTTATTTTGTCTTACCTTCTGCGTTCACCAGAGGCAATTTCCATCTAAACCTGTGAGATGACCTCAATTTTTTTTCTCCTGAAAGTCTGTTCCGCCAACAGGTAAGCTCTGTTGCCCTTACTCAGCAGCCCTGCGCTCCAGTGTTCTTCCCTCTTTCTTCTCTAAAAAAGTCTACTATTTTCTTTGTTCTTTGTTCTTTTTAAAACCACTTTGCAGTCTGGATTAGAATTGTTTACATTCAGACCCTGAGTGCCTGCCTGCTGACCTTTGGTTAAAGTAAAGATTACCTCCTCAGTGTTTACAAGAATATAAATTCAGGTCTGATTCGTAATTTTTTGGAACTCTTCCATTTTTTTCTCTCTTTCTTTCCTTAGCAAATATACCAAGGAGATTGTTCTGCCAGGACCTTTCTTTTTTTAAGTAATTTTACCTCTAGGATCCATTTTTGCTTTCCTAATCCTGACCACACAGCCTGTTGCTACTTCTGTTCTTAACAGCCCAATAGCCACACTCTGCACTCAGTTCTGTTGTTAGGGGAAAAAGAAGCCATCTCCAAACCCAGGTCCCTGCTGGGAAGAGCTGGAAAAAGCGGGGAGAAAACTCAGCCTGTGAGGGAGGCATTTCATTCTGCATTCCTTCATGGGCTACTTTTCTGAGATTTCAGTTAGCAAGGGAATAATATGTTAGGAATATTCCTATTCCTATGACTACTCATATTCCTCCACGCAGAAATTCAAAGTTCATGGCAGTTCTCCAAAAGTATAAATTGAAACAAGCTGAGAACACTTTTGTCTCAGACAGTTGCTTCTCCCCCGAGACTCAGCTCCTGCGCTTGTTGCCAGTTTCTCTTACTCCTCAGAGGCTTATATAGCTCTTCAAGTGACCTTCGAGTCTGTCCTTTTCCCCTGAGCCTTGTGCTTGGGTGGTGACGGCTGCTTGTCCCTCACCAGTGTGCTCACTTGATTCCGAGTTTTGTCAGCAGAAGAGAGAAAAAGATCTCTTAGATCCTGAATCTTCCGGATAAAATTGTGTCTTTAAAGTCACAAACCTCTCGACAAGATTGCCTTTCCTCTGTTGGCCATGGTTTGTTAGTTCTTTGCATAGTAGTTCATGTATGGTTAAACCATATAGTGACATCACTATATGTCAGAGCCCCTGGCTATTAAAGGAAAAAAGCTAAGGACACCACACCCACAGATATAAATTTATTTATTTATTTATTTATTTTTGGCTGTGTTGGGTCTTCGTTGCTGCGTGTGGGCTTTCTCTAGTTGCGGCGAGCGGGGGTTACTCTTCCTTGCGGTGTGTGGGCTTCTCATTGCGGTGGCTTCTCTTGTTGCAGAGCACGGGCTCTAGGCGCACTGGCTTCAGTAGTTGTGGCACACGGGCTTAGTTGCTCCGCGGCATGTGGGAATCCTCCCAGGCCAGGGCTCGAACCCGTGTCCCCTGCATTGGCAGGCGGATTCCTAACCACTGCACCACCAGGGAAGTCCCTACACCCCCGGATATAAGAAAGGGAAAAAATTACAGAGACTGGAATTCACAGTGATCCAGAATGCAGTTGGCGTCTTGGATAATGTATACATGAGTTTTGTCCAAAGGGATGAAAAGACCCACAGTGGTTCCCTTCCTGTAGTAACTCCATCCCTTGGTTAAGTGGCAAAAAGGCTTGATTGCAAAATGTACAGTCTCTTTCATTTACATCTTCCTTATATTACTTCTCTGAGCCTCAGTTTCTTCATCAGTAAAACAAGAGCTAATAATCCCTACAATATAAAGTGGTCCTGAGAAGTACATGAGGTAACATATAGAGAGCATGTATATACATCCTTCTTTAAGGCATTTATCAGGGTTGCTTGGAAGAGACAGTCTGGCCTTACCGAGATAAAAGGTCTGATGTGATTGCAATTGTTAGGGGCCCTGATAGTTCTTGTTCTGGTTATTAATTGTAAGTAATTAACACCAATGTGCACAGTGCAGAGAAAGGAAACAGGCAGGAGGCAGGAAAATGCTTAAACTGTGTCATTGAACAGGCCAGGCAGATTGCTCTCCACCGACCTCCCAGGCAGGGTTTAGGAGCTGCTGTCCACCGCTGTTACTCCTGCCTTTTCCCTCCTCAAGGCTCTCATCCCACAACAGTCCCACAAAATGTTGTCCTTCGCAGGCCTTTGGGGGAAATGTCCTGCTGTCATTTGCTGTAATCTGTCTTGGCAGGCAGCCCTCGCTACCTTCAGTTGTGCTATCTGCAGGGCAGATTGGTGCTTGGTTTCCTCCAGGCTTGCAGATAAACACCCTTGGCCACAGCCTGGTGAGCTGCAGGGCCAAGTCGCTGGGAGGAGGAACGTGCCCTGGACTGAAGAAGGGGGACTTGCAGGTCTTTTGGATATGATAATTCCCTCAGTGGACTATCGTGTGTCCTTTGATGACCTGGAGCCATTGCATGAGGGCAGGCATGTTCCCAGGGCCCTGGGACCTTCTCCAGGTGTCACCCCATCCTGAAAAGATAAGGCACCTATTCACCATTCAAGAGCAAGGTAACAGCTTAGTGGGTTGAGACCAAGGGTTCAAAACCTTGATCCGACTGCTAGCTTGCTTAGGGGAACCTGGGGAAGCACCTCAACCTCCCTTTCCATCAGTTTCCTTGTTTACCTTTTCCCGCAGAAGGGGTGCTAACATGGTGTGCTTCACACGCCCCTGGGCCCCATAACAGAAGCTGGATGGGCTGCACACCTAGGTGGGTAGGTCAGGTTGACTGCAGGGGAGTGGGCAATGCCTCCCTAGGAAATATTAGTCTTATTTATTGAATTCTAGGTGGAATGGTGCTACTGCTTTAGAAGAGTGGCCCGTCTCAGCCACCAGACTCCCTTGGTTCAAAACCCAGCTCCACTGCCTACTAGCCTTGTGACCTGGGATGGGTTATTTAACCTCACTTTACCTCAGCTGTAAAATAGGCTTATTGTGAAGTTTGAAATGAGTTGAAAGGTACAAAGTGCTTAGAATAGTCCCAGGCACAATGTCAGCTATTACTAGTATCATTTTCTTGAAAGGAAGGCACCATGGGTAAAATCAGTCAGATCTGGGTTAGAGAACCAGTCCCGCCATGTAATTACTAAACTAAAGAAGCCATTTAATATCTCTTTGTCTCAGTTTCATCACCTGGAAAACAGAATACTTACCAAACCCAGTGCTGTCACGAGGAATAACTGAAATGGTTTTATATAAAGTGCCTGGTATATAGTAAGCACTCAATAAATGTTAAATCGTATATTATTATAGGAAACAATTATTATATTGGATACAGCTAGACTTCTAAGGTCATGCTACAGTTTGGATATGATAATGATGGAAACAATAGTAACTTGAGAACCAAAGATTCTCTGAGCAAAACAGACTTCCCAAAAGGCCCGCAAAGGCTTAAAAGGAGAACCTGATTAACAAAGATTATCTTGTTTATCTTGGACTTCCAGGGGAGGGGAACTGCCAGTTGAAATGCCTGAACCTTTGCAGAACTGTGGGCAGTAGAATTCTGCGATGTAAATAAACAGTGGGTTTTCCTGGAGCAGTGATTCCTGGCTTCCTGACTTGCAGTGTCTCCTTTTTAGATTTGAATTCCTCACTTAAAGTGGAGAAATAGGATTCTGACTACTTAAAAGGCCGTTTTTGTAAGATGCTACCAAGAGGGACCATATGAGAGATGCTCTAAAATGTGTCCTCCTCATTGTCTCAGTATCCGTGGGCTCCCTGGGGGTACATAACTATTCCTCATATTTCTGTGCTGGCAACACATAGACGCACTTTTATGTGGGTGGCAAATTTATTGTCCTCTGACAGGTCCTCCAAAGTATCAAGGGCTTTTCAAAACCATTTGGAAGGAAGACTACGTCACTCTTTCTGGGTTAATAGGATTGAACCATCTATTACCTCCAAAGAATAAAGGTTTACATGAAAGCCATACAAATTGCAAAGGGCAAAGACTGCCCTGAGCTGAAATCCAAAACAGAAAATGTTGGTTGTCCCCTATAAACTTTTTACATCCATCTTTTCCTCTTATTTTGTTCTAAGGGACACGAGGACACCACAGTGACCTGTTGCTTAGTTACCCACAGATATATTTCAGATCGATATAAGGAAGAACTTGCTAAAAATTCGAGTTGTCCAAAAATCCACTAGTTTGCCTTTTAGGGCACTGAGTTCCCTGTCACTGAAGGTGATTGTTTTTTGGTATATTTAGTACCTGGTACATGTTTGCTGAATGAATGAGTGCCAAAGTAGATTTGTGTTTCTTTAGCAGCATATACCGCTCATCTGTAAAATAAAGACTATAATCACTGATCTCATAGGATCATTCTAAAGATTAAATGAGAAAATGCATGAAAAGTACCCAGCATAGTACCTTGCACTTAGTGAGCTGCTCATTAAATAGTAATAATCATTATGTTTTATTTTATATTATATTCTAAAAGGAGAGGAGAGAAGGGATTCCTGGGATTCAGGTAGAGGGTAGACAAGATGACCTCCAAATTTGAGATTTGCGGTTTCTGTGCTTATCTCTCTATTCCTGTTCTCTTCACCCCTGCCCTTCTGTGTCTGCCTTTCTAGAAGAACTTCTCCCCACTGT